CGGAGCAGTGGGCAGCCATTTTTTTTGCTGCGGCGCCCGGGGAGCAGTTGGGGGTTCGGTGCCTTGCTCAAGGGCACCTCAGTTGTGGTATTGAAGGTGGGAGAGAGCGCTGTACATTCACTCCCCCACCTACAATCCCTGCCGGTACAAGACTCGAACCCGCAACCTTTGGGTTACGAGTCCGACTCTCTAACCATTAGGCCACGACTTCCCCATCAGGTAGGAACAGGTACAAAAACAGGTAGGAGTTACTGATATGTTAAGAAAGATCATTAAATTCATAAAAAGGGATCATTAAATTAATTTGAATTACACTGCGAGTTTCTCTTTATATGTTTGTAGATGATCATGCTACAGTATCTAGCGTTGCATGGGCTTTGAAGAAGCCATGTACTGTCATAGTTATATATTGAATCGTATTATTGAAAAATGACTGTAACCATATGATTTATCATGTCATCTATGCAATTGTAGTGGATTTTCAGGTGTCGTCAACTGGACAAAACATGAGGACATTTTTCGAAAGGACTATCTTTTGATAGTTGAGAATGCTCTTGGGTGAGAACTTTACATTATTTATTTACTGGTTGTTATTACTTATTACACAGCTCAAATATGACTGGTCAGTCGCACCTTCTTGCAGTCTGTTGATTCTCAGTAACAACACCTATTGGGGTTTATGATGCAATAACCAGTTGAATGTACTTTTCATATTACATATTACATGTCCATATAAATGTTTACAATAAAGGAAGTGATTGTGCCCCTTAAAATAGTAGCACTGTGTATGGCACATATGCAATTATCAAAACTTATCTTACTTATATCGTCTATTAATGTTTTTCAGAAATCACTGGAGACTCATGATTGTGTGCTTCCCTGGAAACGAAGAAGTGGAACACATCAAAAGGGGGCGAAAACTGGTGCAAAGAAGGAGGTAGATATGTATGTTACATTGGGGTAATTACACTGTTACCCCTTACCCCTACTATGAAATAATGCTGCTATTTTTAGTCCTTTACCAAACATTTATATTATTTCCATGTTTAATGTTTAATCAGTTGTGTTGTACATTTAGGCCTTGCATTTTAATGCTAGACTCCCAGTCTGAGCAAGTGAGTGACAGCATGGATGTGTTCCAAAACATTCGAAGTTTGGTTCTGTTTTATTTTTATGTAAATACAGCACAAAAATTAAATTTGATATCAGCAAGCTTGAAAAGGCGATAATGATCAGTGAACAATAATCTTAGTTTCCTAGCTGTCCTGTTAATTTTATAAAGTAACAGCTGTCCTGTTAAAGTGATAAAAAGTGCCTTCTGTTTGGCAAAACAAAGAATTAAACCGTGTGTCCACAGACACTTTTATTACAGTCTAGGGCTGTCACAGAGATAGATGTAATTTCAGGACTGTTCATTCTCTATTATAAAGTTTGCGGAGAGCGAGCCAGTCAGCAGATTTTCCTTTGGCGCGGATCTGCATCATATCAACAGCTAAAGTGTGGCCCAGATTAGTTCGTGTTTGCCGGCCCAAAACTAGTCCACATCTTTTTAGCCAGAACTGAACCAAAACAGTTCCATAACCCAACCCAGAGTGAGCCAAATATCATCATCCCTTCCCTTTAATTCTCTTTTCTACTAGTTACA